CATGCTACCATCCGCTGCCGGAACTTATTTATTTCGTTCCCGCCTTCAACAGCTTATGCAGGATCAGCCCGCTGAAAAACAGCCCGCAGGTATAAGCAAAAGAGGATAACAGGTCGCCACGTAAGATAAACATCAGCATACCGGTAAAGATAAAGTAGAAGATATAGAGGTAGTGGTTATTGCCGATCTGCCTGTTGGTCCAGAAGGCATGATCATAACAGGCAATGCCGATGGCCATTATTATCGTAAAGAGAATGCTGCCCGCCAGCCCGAAATTAATATAACCTTCTGCCAGCCAGGTACAGGATACATTTTTGAAATCAAACCCCAGCTCCGTAAACAAAAAAGCACCACTGCCAATCGGTTTCTGCGGCCATACTTTCCGCGGCACGAAGAACAGGGCAACCCCGCCTAGCTGCCGCCCCTGCGTGCTCCCGGCCGTATCTACATAATAGATGGTGCGGCAAAGGGAAGAGTAGGCGTCATAATCGGCTGTAAGATAGGCCTGCTCAAAAATGGCGGACGGATGTTTGATCCGGTTACCCATATCGATACCGGCATACCGCGTAACCCCTACCAGCGGCCCAGCCAGCAGCAGCACAGAAAGGATACCCAATACAAAGACCTTCCCACGTTCCATCCATTTCCACTGCGCCGCCAGCAACCACGACATATACACCGTAAACGCCAGGTAGCGGGGAATGGCCAGGGGGAAGTTGAGCACAAAGGCAGGTAACAGCATGCCCAACATAAAAAGTACAGATACCCGGCCCTGGCGATAGAGAATAATGGTCATCAATGACAGGTAGAGCACAACGCCACGGATACCCTTATCGAACAGTAACTGGAAGGTGGGATTGTAATAATGGGCCCTTGTATCCAGGTAACCCCGCAGGAAAAGCCCCTGCCAGCCATAAGCAGTAAACAGGGCAGCGCCGCAAAGTAATAGCAATACCGGGGCTACATAGGGGAACCGCTTTATATAGCCCGCCGTCATCGGCTCAAACGGGAGTGCGCGGAGCAGGTTTTGGCGCGACAGGTAAGTATGAAGCGCCCAATACAGCAGCAGGCAGCCAGCAATCACAAAATTGGCCTTCAGCATCACCTGGTGGGTAATATCATGCAGGTACCAGGGCGTATGATAAAGCGCAGCCTGGATCGAAGGAATAAACCCCAGGAAAATACCGGCAAACAGCCACCATATTTTATTCAGGGAATAAGGGTGACGATCGGCGGCAAACAGGTGCCAGGATGAAAAGGCGGTAATAACCACAAAGCCGGTAAGCACCTGCCATTCGACCGGGCCGGCCGGCCGCGCGAGCAGACACAGCAATACCAACTGCAGCATGGGCAGTAATAGCCAGGCAAATGCCCGGATGCCGGTATGTTTCAATCTTACTGCCTTCATCAGTTCCGGGCGTAAAAGTAAGCCGCTATCGGCTTTCTCTTAAACCAATTTGTATAAATCTATAATCAGGCCAGGTTCCTGTACCTTAACTTCGTTATCCGGCCGGTTATGCGACCATTTATATAATACTATGAAAGGATTTGTTTTCTCTGAATATAAGAGCCAGGAAGAAGGGGGTACTCCGTTTGAGCGTTTGCTGAACCTGTTTATGGAACTGCTGCAATACACCAATGGAGATGCAGGTGAAGCGCTCAACTGGCTGTCACAGCTTGATCGTGAGCATAAGCTGACCACTAATGATTATGGGATCGGTGATTTTATTGAAGACCTGAAGACCAACGGTTACCTCAAAGAAGACGGGCAGACCGGAAATATTAAGATCACTTCAAAGTCGGAACAAACCATCCGGAAGCGCTCGCTGGACCAGGTGTTCGGCAAATTGAAAAAAACAAAACAGGGAAATCACCAGACCTTTAAAACAGGTCTTGGTGATGAGATCAGCCCGGAAACCCGGCCCTTTGAGTTTGGGGATCCGTTGGAAAGTATTGACTTTACCGGCAGCATCCGCAATGCATACGTAAACCAGGGCGTCGATAATTTTTCGATGAAGGAAGATGACCTGGAGATC